GAGCACTAATTTTTATTCAGTCAAGTACGCATTTTCTCTATAAATAAATTTACAAGAAATACATAAGTTTACATTATTAAACAAAATCAGTGCGTTTGTCAGAAGAGCCCGACTAGCAGATACCCTGAATATTCATACTGCCCCGATTTCTCTATTAACTTTTTGCAATAGATCTTATTGTCTCATACAATATTTAGGTATATTTTTATTTGATTTGGCGTCGGTATCCATCAAATAGAATATTAACATGAAACTTGTATTCTATACGAAACTCTAGGTCCTAAATATTTATAAATATGGTTCAAACTCGGAAGCCTGGAAACGGCCGTAGTTATCAAAGATTTGAAACAAACTTGTTCAAAATTCTCTAGCCTTAATAAGTTTTGAGATCGCCGCAATTATACTTCCGCCTGTAACATACATTCGAACAAAACGATTATATCCTTTTCACTCATATTTCAATGGGATCAGATTAAAAACGGGTATTATTATTTTGTTCTCCAAACGTTGCTAATACAAAATTATTCCCTATCTACATTAATTTTCAAGCTTTTGGTATAATACTGTAATAACAATCAACCTTTTACTCAAGGGTCAATAATCTTATATAGAATAATATTTGTATCTTGTTGATAATATTAATATTAAAAGAGTACTTAGTTAGTAGACAGAAGCCTTTTGATATTTATCGATTATTCTCAGTGCGCACAAAAACAACGTACATATTGTGGGGAAAAATAATTTGCAATTGAAATGTGGCTTTGATGATGCCAAAAACAGGACATACCAAACTTGTCCAGTTGACTTTTCAGACCTGTCCTCACTTTGGCTTCCTTTTACGTATCCTTATGCTGTTGACGGCCCGAATGCTAATGAGCCAGCCAAGCAACATTCTCATTCTTCCCCTGCTGCTCTCACCTGCTTCTATTAAGTGTCCTTCGTTGCCAGTTTTTGCCCAAGCAAGCAAATTTATTGCATACTTCCTGTCCGTAAAGGCAAAGGCCTCAAAACGTTGTGTTGTGTGTGGGGTGCATGTGTGCTGTGCATGGTGTGCGTGTGTGTGTATATCATTAAATTAAATGGAATATCAGCTGGCTATTGTTTGTTATTGCACAAATCGATCGGCGCGGTGGCAGCCATCCCGGTTGATTAATGAGTTCCAGTTTTGAGTCCTGTGCGAAATTTTTCCAGTGATTCGCATCTATCGTACTTTAACCCATCATTCAGTTTTCCCCAGCACAATAGACGTCACGCTGGCGCCAGCAACAAATAAAATCAACAACAACAACAGCACAGAAAATATCCGAGTAAAATTACAACAATTAAGTTGAGACATACAAGAATAAAAGGCGCTGAATGAATGCAAATGACAACGAACGCAACTGCAACTCGGTGGGCTATTAACGATAGTCTTTATGAGGGTATAACAACTTTGTGACTCAGCTTGTTAGACTTTAAATACAGGGTAGTTGAATTTTAGTTCATTTAGTGTTTATATTCCAATTTTCTAAAAAGTCATTGAAATTTGTGTTCAACTTGGAGCTCAAAAACAAATTTATCAAAAGTTTTTTAGGTAGACTCAGAAAATACAGATTTTGAGTAATTCCTGGCGAAAGAGTATTTGAAATTCGTGAGAGATTTCCATGTCATTAGAGCTGTTCCGTCTTGTCTGTTTTTTATGCATCTCACTTGTCAAGTGACATTTCGTACGTCCCTTTAGCCCTTCCTTGTCTGCAGTCTTGCTACTTCTGCGCATTGTGCGCTTTTAATTATTTGTGGATGTTTTTGTTATTCTTCGTCTCTCATTTGCTGACAGGACTACGTCCTTGGTGCTTTCTCCTTCCACCAAACTCCCATAGAAGCATATAAGGAGGTTCATTAAAGCCCAGCAAGAAGTAGCTTGTACCTTGTTGCTTTCATCTAGCAATGCTTAGCAACTCATTCAAACAATTGTGCTTTAGTCGGAATGCCGGACTAGGAAGTGCCCTGCTGGCACTCCGTAAGCATATTTAATGCTTCGGCTATCCATCTTTCTATAGCTGCATACCTTTGGAAAATCATAACTGAATTACGGGAAGCATCCAAGAGGTGACTCCTTACGAATACCTACATTAAGTGCCACTTGCACCTTTAGTCTCTGATCTGTGCCTGAAAACTCAGCACTTCGTCCTGATCAATAATATGCATACCTTATGAAGTCAGAGATACTTCATTCTGCCAGTTACATACATTTGCGCAATTTGCATGGAAACAGGGTATTACTAGCAGAGACAAAACAGAGCTAAATGAAGAGAAATTTACTGCCAATGATGCTGGCTGATTAAAATGACTAGCAGACAAATCAGTTACTTGTCGTCTGAGTTCAATGAACCCTTTACACAAAACTAAAAGCTAGTTTAAGTATTTATGCGGGTTGAAAAGTTTTATCGATATCGTGCACAACAAAGGACCCACACAGCCAGATAAATGGCAAAAACTATTCGCTGTTACTGTTTGTGCATACAAATTTTAAATTTATGCTACGAGTTCCCTGAACTCCAAAGCCTGAACCCCAACGTGCATTGACTTGTGCGACTCTGCGTCGCATCTTTTCAGCTGGCTGCAACCTTTTAGATAACGCAGTTTATGGCCCAAAAGCATGGCTAATAACCTGTGGTTAGCCATTAATGGACTTGAGCATTGATTTCATCTAGTCGCTTAATTGTGTCGTAAATGCGTTATTGATACATCATTAGGCAAGCGATAAACGCGGCGTATGCGCAATATTTATAACGCAACTTAAAGGCATAAAAATTTAATGCCAGAGCACCAACATTTACAACGAATTTTCCTTCTCAACGCTAGAAAATTATTTCCAACACAATTTATTGCTGCTTTGGCAAGTAGCCAACAACCCAAGCTTAAGGGCTTATAAAAGGCTACGGGCGGACAGCAGTTGGACGGCTGACAAAGCCTTTAAAAAGTAACAAAAAATTTAAGATTAATACAATTACATTTTTATTTTTATTATGATCCAGCGCTTCCGAGTTTTAAGCTAACAACCACAATAGTTTGATTGCTTTAAACTCAACTCCATGAGCAACTCTTGTTGTAAATCCTTAAATAAACTTTTATTAACACCTGCCGAAAATGTATGCAATAGGATTCAATGCGAGTCCTAATAAATAGGTTACTGCTGTACCTCACAGATACTATTAAACCGAGAAACCCAGCCTTTAAAGTAAAATGCATGCTCAGGTCCACAGGGTCCTTGTATGACTTTAGCTCCAAGGAAATTGGATGCTTCAGATTTCTGAAACAGAACTCGCAGCACGTTTTGCTGCTGGCATTTGGTCGACTTTGAGTTAGTAACATATTTTCGTGGGGCGTAGTGGGTGGAATAATTGGTTAGCATGCCAAAAAAAAGGCTTCCATTTGGATACCTACCCCGCCCTGGCGTACGTGACGCCTTGAAAGTGTCGCCCGTTTTATTTGACGTACGTGTCAAGCGAAACTACATGCAAAAATGAACTGAGCAACCAGAAGCTTAATAATAATACAAAAACAAAAATAAATGCATGAAATTATTGAAATATTTGTTGACCTTAAGTAATATTAAAGCTATGCCAATGCATACGAAAAATGTAGGTGAACATTTAAAAAAGTACTTCATGCAATATTGACGCTTAGAACAGTTTCAATCAGTTTCGTTGTCATTGATGGATTTTGATAAATGAACAGACATTATGACAAATATGCAAATATATCTCGATGAAAAACTGACCAATACATGCACACGCGCACACACGCATGCAAGAATATACAATATCCACTCATGCTGTGACGGGCTTGTCAATATTTGTACGATAAAAATCAGAATCGAATAGTGGCCCAAACAATGGCCTGACATTCGAATCGGAATAGTGGTCGAGGGTGACAGACTGTGGAGAAGGAGGCATGTTTGCGTGTAAAGTCAAATAATTGGCAGCAGCATGGACAAGAGCTGCAATTAAAGCAATATTGACTCGCTCAGATACACCGCTGGACATGTGCATAAGGGCACAAGTGTATCCATATCATAACGCTGGATATATTATTGGATTCCATGAAAACTAAATATGAAGTCGTTCAAATACATTAGCAATATTAACCTTAAATGAAAATTCTGTTATGACTATTTATTATGTTTTTCCATTATTGGAGGCCAAAGCTTAAGTGCAAGCTATTGTTGCAAATCAGGCATCACTGAAATTTGCAATTAAAAACTTTTCATCACACAAGACAAGGACTATAAAAAATACAGCTTCCTGCTTTTACGGCTTAGTCCAATCAATTAATAAATAAAAAGTCAAATAGGAGTATCTAGGTTACAACTTTTATATATTTTCAAAATTGATCTCTGACTCCTATTAAATGTGCAAAAATTGTCAGATTTCAGCCAACTTTATTTAAATTAATAACTCTTAAAACATTTTGCAGTTAACCCAAAAAACTGCTCACATCTGTATGAACAAAGACAGTCGCAAAAAGACCAAACAAAGATTCAAATCTATTTCAACATAAAAGTAATTTTGATAGCATTCATAAAAGATTCAGTTTCATTTTGATGTTGCATTGTTTTCAGTCGGGTTTCCATGCACCACGCTGCGTATGCGTGTTATTTGGTAGATGGTGGAGCACTACATATTCATATCTCTTTCTATCAATCTCGCTGTCTCTCTTTCCCCCTCTCTTTGTTTGGCAGAATTATATTTCGCTTTCATTCATTGCGATTCATTTTAGAAGAGTGTTTTGTTTTAATTAAATTTTATGTTTGCGCAGAAATAAAAGTGGCTCAACACAAAGAGCTATAAGTAAATTATAGTGCAATCAAAGTTTCAAATATTCCAACTAAAAATTTTCAAAAATATTAATTAACTGGCGGAGGCGACAGGCAAAGTTTCCACGTAAATTGACTAGCAACGGGTCGGTACCAAAAATGAGCACGACTCTTTCCTAAATAACCGCGCGAAATCCTTAGCACAAGCCAACGGAAAATGGGCGACACTTTGGATGAGACGCCGCCGTCGCGACGCGGTAAGCCGCAATCCTTGAACATTAGTCCGGAGGAGACGGCTGAAGATGCAGTTGAAGGTGCAAGCCATGCAGCCAGCGGCTCCTCCACGCGCTCGACACGCTCGCGAACGGGCAACGATCCGGTACGGGAACGCGATCAATCCTGCGATGGACTGAGCTCTAAGGGCAATCGGAATGACGAGTTTGTTGGTCTGCCGGCACCACCACGGCGTGAGAGTCTCAACAGCTGCGACCAGCAGCAGCAACAGGCAAGCAGTCCCGGCGGCGGCTTGCATAAGGCGCTGGGTCTGAGCACTCGTTCCACAGCTGCTGGAAACAATCCGCGGTACTCGTCCAGCGTTGTGGTTGGTGGCGGAGCTGGCAATCTGTCCGGCACCACAACGCGCAAGTGTGTCCTGACGCTGGACGGGTACTCCTATGTCATAGGTAAGTGATGGGTGCACTTAAAGAACAGGCAGAGCTTGCCTGGAGTCACCTTTGGGTGACCCACATGAACTGTTTCCTTGGGTTTGACTTTTAATTCGTAAGCCACCTTTTCCACACACTCTACACACAATTGCGCCATGAAAAAGCATAAAATAATATATATGTATCTATTTTTCTATCATTTCATTGCAGGTAAGTCAATTCAGAGGGCAAACCCAAGAGCCAGATTGAAACGACGGCCCAGGTACGTGGCCCATTGCAGCATTAAATTGAAAATGAAATTGAATTTCCCCAAAGGGGCTGGGGTATGGTAGTAGCCAATTTAAAACTTGGCTGCCACCCATAACTCCTTTCTTATCCTTTCTTTTAACCAGCACAACACAATTCATTTCGAATTGCTGCTGGAAATTTATGGGCAACTTTTAATACTGCAGCAGATTGCGTATACGACACGTGGCCGGGGTAAACATTTAAGAAAATACGCAAAATATGCTCTGGCAGGTTAGCTAGACCAGGCTAGACCAGTTTCTTGTTGTTCTCGGCAAAATTATTGGATACCGGAGGCTTTTGAAATCAGCTGGACACTCGTGTTGTCTGCTCACAGCTTCTGGGCATCAATGTACACCTATGTATATACTGATATAAACAGGTTTTTGAAAACAAACATACAGCTGTTGGCCAGTCGTGGACTAAAATAGTTGCATAGAGCACAGACACTTTAAGCTTCTGTGTGTTCACTTCAGATAAAATGAATGAATTCAATTTTAGGTGAAACGAATTTTAAGCGAAAATAAAAGGTATCCATATAATCCTGAAAACGTGTGTGTGTGTGTATGAAGTGCTATTGTAGTTAAATGAACATTCACCGCAATAAGGATATCAGAAAAATTTAAATATGGCATAAAATTACCAAAAGCAACAAGGAGCGTATAAATTAAACTTGCAGGGATATTATAAAAGTTTAATATAGTGTATGCTGCAACCGACAGATGGATCGATAGATAGATAGGTAGATAGATAGATAGATAAATAGATAGATAGATAGATAGATAGATGTAAAGATAGATAGATACATAAATAGATATGTCAGATACGTAAGATTGCACAAAACGAATGAGTCCCTTTTATCAAACTTCAATGCTTATAGATATAATAAAAATATATTATAAATGAATCAGTCAGAGTCAATTATTCAATCCTTGCCGAATTAATCGTCAATCGTATACCACAAACAAATCTCAAAAGTAAATGTATGTATATAAAATCTTTGAAGCCTGCAAATTCCAGTTAAGAGCTGTCAACTTGACGCTCACGTAATATCTACGTGCTCCTGGATCGCTTTAATGCAAAAAAAAAAAAACACCGTAAAACTGTTAAGCTACCTACTCAATTATTCTGTTAAGCGTTAAATAAATAAACAGATAAAAGAAATTCAACTGTTACCAGTACTATTCTCCAGATGGAATGTGTACCGCTGGGCTCCAATTGCTGTGTCACGTAGCTGCCTGAAATTTGAGGCAATGCCAAGGCATGGGGCACGCCCCCAATCGGACAGGAGCCAAGTGACAATGTGGCGCGTCCTTTGGGGTTAAAATTTATGGGCGCTGCAATATTTTGCAAATATCCGTAGCATATCCTGCGGCGACAGCACAGGCAAACAACAATGCAATAAATAGTCAAGTGTTTGTTTTTGTATTCGTGCTCGTGTTCCTGTCGCTGTTGAGCGCCAGAGAGTGTGTGTGTGTGTGTAGTTGTTGTTGTTTTCGAAGTGTGTCCTTCAATTGACATATTACACTTATTGTTGGCCTGGTCGCGGCCGCTTTCTAGCGTTGCACGTTTGTTGTTGTCACTCGCAGACAAAGGCATCAGACGAGGACAAGGCCCACGTCCACCTCCACCATCGGCTATTTGTGCTGTCTGGCTGAAAGTCCAGAGCCCCGCTTGCTCAAGCGGGCTTCAGCGACAAGTTAACTTATTGACAGCAGCCAGCCGAGTGGGAAAAGGTTACCACTTAATTGATGTGCTGTGTGTGCAACTGAAACTGGGAACAAAACAAAAAAAACAAAAAAAAAGGGTTAAGTGGCCAATTTAGCTGCGGTTCAATGAATCTTCATTGGCATTGGCCAATTTATTAAGGAATAACAAGGAAAAGCGTTAACTTAACTAAGCGCGTAATAAGGTTTAAGGACAGGCAACATTTGCAAGATCTTCGCATAATTTTGAACGCTTAAAAATTCACAAATACAAGAAAACCATTTGGCAAAGTTCATGCGCATAACTCAAATGCTTTTTGCACTACTCGGGCCAAAAGTGACCTTTCTTTGGTTTTGTTTTAGCCAGTCCTAAGCAACCCATAAAAATTTGCATAAATTCCAGTCATTGACTTTAACGCACAAACATTTCAATGCATATTTCGAATTGGGCGTAACATGACAAGCTCCCTCAAAAATATTTATTGTGGAGCAAAAGATATGAGCAGCTTTATTGAATTTGTATGGGCCTGGCTTAAAGGGATAATGTATGCAACTCTTGGCTAAAGTTTTTATTTGCCCTTATGCCAGCGGCGCCTCAATTGCCAATCAATTTGGCTTTTACTCTCTGCGGACCATTGATGTCGACAACTGCTTTCAAGTGACAGCAAAGTTATAAAAAATAAACAGTTTTTGGAGCGGTTTGACGGGAAAATACCCTGTAGCCAAAGCTGTCACGATGGTGGCCTCTTGCGATAATTTATCTACCATAAATACTCCCTATTGTTAAATAAAATGATATACATTAAAAAATGTATATATCCTCTTCATGCGTTTGTATAGGAGAGTATATTTCCAGTCTCTAGCTTTTATACAATATATATTTGTGGGGTCGGAGATGATTGGTTCCCGCCGGTTACATATTCTTGCCCAAAAACATTATACCCTTATTACGCGTTTCCAATGAGTTCATGGTTTAAACACCCTTTAGACCTGCATGAATATAAGCCCCACAAAAACACACGCAAGCCAACTCTAGCTGATTATCAGTAGCATTTTGCATAACCTGTACTTATTGAAAGTGTATATAAGAAAGGGTCTGCATCAACAGAAGATCGAACCTGTCTTTATTAGAGCTTCTATACCAGAGACTAAAAGCTTGTTTGCCAATCGCAAATTAAGTTTATCTTAAATAACCACAAAAAGAGATATAAGGCAGCGCTTGGAGGTGTGTGCACATTTAACACATTTAACGGTAGCTCGGCACTGGATTCATGGTATCTGGAAGTCGGGCGCTCTTGACTGGAGCACTCATGTTTTAATTAAAAACAGTTAAAAAGCGGCGCCAGTTTCGCGACTGTCTGTTAAATTTATGAAGCCTGCAGCTAAATGGCCAAAATGGCGCTGCCACAAACAGAAAAGGCAGCATACGCACACACACATACACAGGCAAGGGAAAAAGTTGGCAGCCCGAATTGTGGTTGGCCCGAAGGATCCAATTAGCTGGCTCATCTTTGTTCCTTTCCCCCGCATCCTGCGGCCGCTTATACCTTTTACTGCTGTTCTGACATCAAGGTGCACGGCGCGTCCTGCCAAATTTCCCAGAGCTGCTCAGCATTTTGAAACTTTTAAGCTCAAAAGGATTTAACATGTGTGTCCTTGCATGCTGCTCTGTATATATTAGACAATGCGACATCCTCAGCCCGCAGACAATTGATCAAATCAATAGCTATGAGTTCCAGCAATCAATCGCAATTGTTCAACATTTCATTCTTTTTCTGTGAACTAACAATTAATTAAACTATATCAAATTGTAACTTGTAAAGCGAGTAACTATAGTACTTTTGGTAAGAATAAACCCTCATATTCTTGTAATTTTCTTACAAAAATAAAATAACAAAGATAAATAGCTTTAGCTGATTGACACAAGAGCAGACTTTTGTGTTTCTGTTTTTTATTGGTGACAGCAACATTTATTTTTTTTTTTTTTTTGAGCATAAGAAAGGTTTTTGGGATGAGTACGGACTGAAAAACATGTTCGCGGCTGAGGAACATATTCTGGTGGACTGTAAAGAATTGGATAGAAACAAACATGTGAATCGATAGTACTACAAATACATTTAACCCACGACCACCCACTAAATCGAATGCCAAATGTAAAGAAACTCACATTTATCTTAACGTTAGTTAGTTTGACTAAGTTTACCTTGAGATCTAGGTCTAAACAAGACAGCACAAAAGTTTTGATATTTGTGATAGATATTAAGCCAATTGTTCCCTCGGCATTATCCGAATATCCAGATCCTTGGATATTATCTGTGTGAACTATTTTTTAGAAATATAAATTACAAATAGTGAATTTAAGCCACATTCTATTCATGCAATCAGTCAAAATAATCAAGCTTTACAGCTTTAAGTGTCCGGGAGTCCGGTTAATTTCCAAACAGTTGAATATAATTTTATTGGTAACTCTGAGAGGCAACAACGGCGCTGTCAACTTCCGGCAATCAGGATGGAAACAAGGATTTCCACTTGCCAGCCAGCAAAGCGTTAAATTTACTTTAGCAGCTGCCAGCTGCTGCCTTGTCGTTGTCGAGACTCCTAGCATAGGGACTTTCGGTGCCAGTCGCTGGAGTCGTCCTTAACCAAACTATGGAAATATCCGCTAGCAAATTGGAAAAAAATTATTGTTGACACTTTCGTTTTTGCTGCACTTTTAGACAGCGGAACAATTCGAGCCAAAGCAAATGAAATTAATTCCAAAGCAGCTAGCCTGAAGATAAAATGTTATATAAAAAGCTTTGATGCGTTTTCGATAATTGATAAAAACACATTTCTTAAAGCTGCTGACAAGAGCTTTCTTTCTGCTCTATTACAATATATAAAGACATAATTGAGCTAAGCATTTATATGGATTTTTGAGCAATAAATTGAATTTTAAATGCCAGAGCTAACAGTTGACATATCGCAAAGAAAATCGATCTGTCAGGCAATCTTATTACCACCCACTTGTCGTACAATTTTCAGCACCACTTGACAGCGATAAACGGAAATTTAATTCGTCCATATGATGCCCAGCAACCACAATTTCGCCCGTTGCCAACTGTTAATGACATTTCGGCCAGTTGGCTAGCGATGCTCTTTTATTTTCGCTTTTTTCTTTGGTATATTTTATTAATTAATTAATCAATCAACTGGCGCAACAAAAATCAATGCATCAAAATGGCTAATTGAAATTTACTTTAGTCCACTTGTGACGCCACAAATTGTACATTAGCAAAGCCACTAGCACCACGTTAAAAGATTTGATGATTTGTTTAACCAAAAGTCGACGTTGTTTACTGAAAAAAAAGGCAGTCTAGTTAGAAACGAACAAACAGTTATTAGTCCAAACTAACCTCATGCCCGACTGCTCATAGCTCAAAACAATGCCAGCGCGAGGCGCAAGTCGCAATTGGGGTTTGTCACTGCGATTGTTGACAAAAAAACTAAAATCACTTCATTCATGGAACATTTAGAAAACAAAAATGTTAATGTTTTAGGATAAAGATAAAGAAACACGTCTGTTTAGGATAAACGTGGCGTATGCGCAATGAACATTTGAAGCCAAAGCAAAACATTTCCATTTAATATGATTTGAATTACTTTATTGCTATTTAGCACTTCCCCCATTTAAACAGAAAAAACTAGTCGTAATGCTAATGCTTTATGCCATTTTGTGGCTTATTTCCTGTGATCCTAAGTAAAAATAATCTTCTGATTACAAATGAAAGATTCATAGAAATTCACTTAGTACTTTCCGCTGCAAAGTTTGTGGCTTGCGTGCATTACATTTGCATTGCAAATGGCATCTTGGAATTATGAAAGATCAAAGTTTGTCACAATAAGGAATTATAATTGGATCATGAAATGTGTAACGCCTTCTCGGAACCTATAAATTGTACATATATACCTTCTAGATCTGAATCAACAGTCAAGTCGTTATAGCCATGTGCTATTGTCTGTTGCTATGCAAACTAAATTTCTGTTCTTTTTTTTTATGATTTAAGTGCTTTTTAGCAATTTTCAAACTTAAGTAACTGCCTTTTATATTCGTTAAGAGTATTTATTATGCCATTCTATGCAGCATTTGATGTCTCTTTATTAAGCTAAAAACTTATTGGCGTCCATGGAAAATTTGATATGATTTAAAGGAGCAAGTTTATGGACATGGCAAATTGCACAATGCAGTGCTTAACGCGTGGCATTTGAAACTTTTGCATAACATGAACCTTTGCCCGCCCTCTCCCTCTCTCCCTTTCTCTTCCTCTCTCTCTCTCTCTGTTGCATACCCATTTGGAATGCGACAGTTCGCAAATCTCTGTGTCGTGGTCCATAAATCTTCGAGTTCGTGCGCCCAGCCACATGAAAAATTATACGAGCTGTGAAACAAACTGACCAGAGAAAAAATAGCTTGGAGGTACCAAAAATGATTTACCCTTGCAATATTATAAAAAAAAACAACAGTTTTATTACAATATTTTAATCTTGCAGAAATGTTAAGCTTAAAGCAATTTAAAGTTTCATACATTTCATGCTAAGTAAAACATGAAAGAATATTATGTAAAATTATTTATTAATTTGAGTACATAAACTACTTATTATTGAATAAATGAAAGGCAACTGTAATCTAATCCTATCTCCGCCAACAAATTTAAAAATATGTGTTAATAAATGTAGAGAAGAATTAGGGCAGACTTTTAATACGGCTCAATTTTCGAGCAATTTTATTTATGGCTTATTGATTGTTTTAAATTTAATCCGACTGATTGCATTTTAGATGGCAGCCTCCTTAAGCAAGCAGAGAGAATAGTCTACCAAAATATAGAGTCTTTATGCGTTCATTACCAAAGTAGAATACCCTTTGATAGGGTATCTAAATGAATTGAATTCCGCTTGGGCAAACTGCCAGGGCGACAATGGCGACGTCGTGGCCAGCAGTTTTATTCCGCATGTCGTGCATAAAAAGACCTCCAGATTTTAAATGCAAACTGATATATAAAAAAAACTGTAAGAGGCAAAGTGAACTTTAATTCATTTGCAGCACAAGCACAATGCCTTATTTAATCAAATTTGTTCAAAGAAAATTGATTTCAATGAACCCACAAAGTACGTTAATCTTGGGCCTACGCGTCGAGCAGCTTGCAGATGAGACCCTCATGAGCTGACAGTGTTAAGGCGCTGCTGGAAATCGTTTGTCTGTGGAGGGAAGCGAATGCAGGACAAATATGTGGCAAATATTTTAAATGTGATATAATGCAAGTGACATTAAACATACCCAGGTGCATAGACTGAATCCACGCCTGCCACTTCCACCACCAATTTTTGAGGTCGATTGATAAAGTCTGTTAGATTTACCAACTGCTCCTTGGCGCTCACATTGATGATGGTTACGAGTGTGTCGTAGTCCTTCAGGGTACTAAATAGCCAAAAAACGGTTAATAATTGTACGCCCTTTAATATAGAAAAAGCGAGAATTACCGCTTAAAGGCGAAAACTGTGCGGGATAGCGGCTCTATGCTAAACCTTCCACGTCTAAGAACCGGCAACTTGCGTAGCTCAATCAGCGATTTGTAGACTTTGTAATGGCTTTTAGCGGCTTGCTTTTGCGCTTCTAGATTCAACACCAGATAGTTGGGATTTACAGGTAGCCATGTCTTGGCAGCAGTGGAGAAACCTAAGGAAACGTATTATATATTCATGGTTACTATAATACAGTTCAGCTTACCAGCATTGGTAGCATTGCTCCACTGAAAGGGTGTACGCTCCGGATCTCTGGACACTTTCTTATAGTCCAGTTTACCAGCAATGCACGCTGGCGGATCCACCGTGTCCTCCCAACTGATTTCCCCATAGTCCTGCATGCCCAGTTCCTCGCCCTACAACAAATATAATTCAAACTGATTAGTCTGCTGACCTTTCAAATAGAACCATACTCACATTATAGGTAACAGCGACGCCGGGAAGTGTCAGCAGCAGCATGTTCATGGCATCGACACTGGCGGGGCCAAAACGCGTGGCGACACGCGGTTTATCGTGATTGCCCATGACCCAATTGGCAGTGTGCCCGCGAGGCATGTAGATCAGCCACTTCTCTATATTGTATACAAAGTCACGGGCATCCGAATCTCCGTTCACATCCGTAATAAAGTGAAAATTGAAGGGTAATTGGGAGCCGCGCACTCCGCCGGCATCCTCATAATAATCCATGAGCACATGCAAGTCGGCATACGCCTCTGTCATCATAATGCGCGTGACACCTTCCGAGTGCTTGGCGGTATAATCGTCCAACAGCTGCCGCCAGTGCTGCACCATGCTTAAAACCTCAGGCAAATCTTTGGTATAGATGTGCTCCGTATAGTCGTAGGAGAGGGGATCCGTAGTCTTGCCGCTAAGGGGCTCATCGGACAGGGCTTCATCTTCGAACAAATGATTCAGTGCGTCAATGCGAAAACCAGCCACACCTTTATTAAGCCAGAACAGCAAAACATCATCCATAGCGCGCACCACGGCCGGGTTGCGAAAGTTGAGATCTGGCTGTTCCTTGGCGAACTGGTGCAAATAATACTGCCCGCGTTGCTCATGCCACTGCCAGGTGGAGCCATAGAACACGGACTGCCAGTTGTTCGGTGGCTGTCGAACACCCTGATTATCCAATTTCCCATCTGCCCATACATAAAATTTGTCATACAAGGGGTCCCGGGCCGCTGACTTTATGAACCACTCGTGCTTATCCGAGGTGTGATTGGGCACAAAGTCCAAGATTATCTTGATGCCCAGACTGGTAGCCGTGTTCACCAGCTGCTCAAAGTCGGCCATACTTCCATACTCCGGTTGTATAGACTTGTAGTCGGATATATCATAGCCAAAGTCCACCATGGGTGACAGAAAAATGGGACTTAGCCAGGTCGCAGTAATGCCCGTTTCAGCTAGATACGGCAGCTGGGAGATAACACCCTGCAAGTCGCCGATGCCATCGCCGTTACTGTCCTTAAAGGATCTGGGATAGATCTGGTAGAAGACCGCGTGCTGCCACCAGTCGATAAAATCTTCCGTTTGAGCGCTCAACAGACTAGACATGACCGGACTAGGCGCCTGTGTCCACAGCAGGCTGCAAAGTAGAAGCAGTTGGGTTGTTCGGGTTAACTGATGCGCTGCTGCCATGGTGCAAGAGATTTGCTGCTGTGGCAGCGACTGTAAACGCGAATCAGATTCAGTTCTGTTTTTAAGGGTTTATTCCAAATTGCTGGCGGTGTAATTATTATAATTTTAATATTATTAACTCTTAATAAAGCAGCTCTGATTATTTATAATTGTATATGGAAACGACTGAGGACAAATAGAATCAAATTACAAACATGTGAAAACAAATATAACGTAAGCCAATTTAACGCTGTAAAATAAATGTACATATGCAGTAGAACGTTACTTTAAAAGAAAATGAAATTATTTCGATTTTGTTTTTATTCACTATTTTTCCGCCTCATTCTTTGTAAGCAGCATACCTTCCTTTTGCACTGCAAAGAGAGGCTGAAGATCATTTGGCTGATCTTTTAATTTTACGCCTTATCTCTCTACCTACTACCTCCATACATAATCAATTGATAACAATCACTTCTGCTGCGCTCGCTACTTACACTCTTTACCTACCTCAAAAGGCTTGCCAACAAATATAAGAACGTAAACAAATAACAACAATTCAATACTGCTCGAAACACGTCAATTCGCCCACAGCCACCGTGATCAACTGAAAACTGAGAGAGAGCAGCGTGCAGCGAAGCCACAAGCTTGCGCTCCACTTGGAATCCACAGCAATGCTCACAGCATCCACAAAGGCAGGCTGCAAATCAATATGGTGCTCAAAGCCGAAGTGGCCGACTAAGAAATACCCTGTTACCCGTGTCGAGCTGCCGTTCCAGGCATTCGAACTCGAACTCATATACGCACTCGACTGACTCACTCAAACTTACCTCAATTGACTCAACCTAATTGCCTCATTGGGTATCTAAGGGAAGAGATGTGCTCATAAAATAGAGCATTGACATCAATTCTTATCGGTTTCGAGATTTTGATGATTGGGTATACCCATTCCCATAAATTCTAATTATTGTCTATTTCTTATATAAACGGGCTCTAATATACGGACAGACGGGGAGACGCACAATGGCTGGATATGCGCAGATCTTCGACCTGCTCACGAATAAATAAACTTTGTATACTTGGTCGAAACAGTTTGCTCTACCTTTGCAAACATTTGCCCATTAGCATTATACATATTCTTAACCATAGTCAAAGGCTACAGAGTATAAAAGACAAAACGAAATTTATATTTATACAATTTCGAAGGGCTTTTAATTAAACTCAACAACAATTTATCTACCGCTGCCCAGAAGCGTTGACAATTATGAAATATTTTGGAGAAAGTGCGACGACAGCAACACGACAAACGACG